ATTGATTGCTGTGATTTTATTTTGAAGTGCACACCTGCTAAAAAGCACTTTCAGCACAGAGCAACATCTCCACTGGTAAATTTACAATTTCACTCCTCCCTCTACTGTAGATTCTTTCTGTGTGGTGGTTACTGAGCTGAGCTTCTGAGCTGGATCTGTGGGAGCAGTCGTGGAGGGAGGCAGGGAAAAGAACTTCCTTAAAATTTTTAAATTTAAAACTTAAAATTTTATTTAAAGAGAATGGAGGGGAAATGGATACCCTGAAATACCTGGCATTTAAATCTAGTTCTAGTACCCTGCATTAAAATGGGGAGTTACTGTCAGCTTGGCCTAAAAGATGCACTTTGAAAAAAACAAAAAAAATCAGATTGAACAGCTTTGTCACATACTGGGAAGGGGCAACACTGCCTGTGAATTCCATTTCTTAGGTAATGTAATTGCCACTTCTTTAGGAGTTCTGCTTTTTAGGCTCTGACATCTTGATGCTCACATTTAAATCTGGGCTGTTCCAGTGCGTTCTTGACTCGGGTCAGGCAGCACCACGTTAAAAATGCATCAGTCCCCATGTCACACCCCTGACAGCGCCGCTCCTGTCACCAGCCGGGTGACACCTGGAGGTTCAGCAGGCACCGGAGGAGCTGCCTGGGGAGCAGGGGGGTTCTTCTGCACGGCATTCCCGCATTTCCCGGCCGGGAAGGCGAGCGCGCTGCACTGCGGGGCCGGGCCGGGCGATGGCAATGTCGGGCCGGGCTGGGAGCGAGAACGGGCACGGCTCCGGCAGAACGGGCACGGCAGGACGGGCACAGCTCCGGCAGAACGGGCACAGCAGGACGGGCACGGCTCCTGCAGAACGGGCACGGCAGAACGGGCACAGCTCCTGCAAATGGGCACAGCAGAACGGGCACAGCTCCGGCAGAACGGGCACAGCAGATCGGGCACAGCAGAACGGGCACAGCAGAACGGGCACGGCAGAACGGGCACGGCAGAACGGGCACAGCTCCGGCAGAACGGGCACAGCAGAACGGGCACAGCCCCTGCAGAACGGGCACTTCTGAGTCACCTGCCCGAGCACAGCTTGGGACTGGGCCTGCCAGCACCAGAATAGGATAGGGAGGGGAAAAAAGAAAGAAAAAAGTGGGTGCTGGAGCTGGGGAAGGAGTTTCCGCATCATTTGGGAAAATGCGGTGGTGCTGGAAACATTGTGACAGAGACAAATGCTACTGGTTGCCCAGTGAGATTTTTTCCACCGTGAGTCTGTTACATTGAATATATGAAGTATGCTCATTTTCCAGTGCCTGGGCAGTTTTTAAAGTATAAGTTTGAGTACTGGAACATTCATAATTAAAGTTTCTGGAGCATTTGGGGAGTAGTTCACTTCTGTAACTATTATTTTAAAATGTGGTAAAGAATGTGTCTTGTAGAAGGTAAATCCTGCAAGTATTGGAGTGGGCTTGCTGGAGATCAAAATCAGTGGGAAAAAGAAGTGGTAATAATGCAAGATATTCCTTTCCTCTACAGGACAAAGTCTCCTATGTGGAAGAAACTTTTTTCATTTGGTATTCAGGTTCTTTATTCCGAAAGGATGACATTTATTCTGTATGCACACACGTACACAGAGGCAGCTCAAGGACTTGGCTTTTTCATTGTTTAAAAATAGGATTACTGTTTTGTTAATCTGATTATGAATCTAAACCATGTGGGCCTGTCAAGTGGGCTCTCAGTGGCTGGGCTGGGTGCTAATCTTGCTGGAGGGAGTGGGATGGGAGCATGGGGATGAGCACACACCATGTGCATCCTCTGCAGATTTTGGAGAGCCCTCAGAATACCTCCTCCAGCCATCCCACAAGGAACTGGAAACATGCTGCATAAAAATGCTGTATGCTTGTAGACTGTGTTACCAAAGAAAAATATCATGTCTTTGAATATATAGTAACCATGATACATAGTGACAGCTATTGAGACCAAGAGCTGTATTAATAGGGAATGGCACTTAAATGTGATTATGCAGTATGACCTTTTGCTGCCACCCAGATTAAAAATACACTCTAGGCAGGTAACAGTATTATAATTCCACGGGAAGAAATAAGCCATGCTTTTCAAGTTTTCCCTAAATCTGCTTTTCCCCCTTTTTTTCCAGCAGCTGCTCTATGCAAGAACAGGGGCAGAAGCAGTAAAAGGGGCATGTGCCTGCCCAGCACTTTGAAATGTGAGTTTGGCACAATAAATGGCACAAAGGGAGGCATGTGGATGTGCTGTGGGAGTTGTGTGAGCATTGCAGCATTCCCAGGTGGCACCCCCTCATCACAGCTGGACATCTCAGCCTTAGAGCTGGGGTGTGAAATCTGTGCCTGCTCTGCAGGTCAAATCTGGCACCAGGAAAGCTCCCCTTCCTTCTCCTGCCCCTTCCCAAGCATCCTCTGGCCACCCCTGCACGTGGTGAGCTCCAGGACCACAATTGCTCTGGAGGTGCAGCAAGGTGGGAACGTGCCCAGGAGAGCTCTGGGCTGAGGAGATCCATCAGGGGAATGTGCTGCTCTGCTTCATCATTTCCATGTGTGCTGAAGTGGCACAGAGTTCTCAGCTCTGATGACTAACTTCTTTTCTTTGTGGGAAGAAGCCAACTGACAGCTCCTCAGCCCCAGCCCCAACCTTTCTCCTTTTTATTGCCTTTTAACCACGCTAGCTCTGCCTTTTCCTGTAATTCATAGGCCACAGTGGCTTTCCCTTGAATCAGGAGATTTTTACAGCTGATTTGGAGCAGGCAGAGTAATCTCATTCCTGCTCATGGACTTGCCACATGTGCCTCTCTTGGAAAGGAGTGGGCTTGCTCTTTTTGTAGCTTGAATGTCTCTTGGTGTTGTGTATTTCAGGACCTGATGATCAGGCTTGTGGGGAGAGGAGGGAAGCAGAGTTTAATGAAGAACATTTTTTAAGTGCAATAAAAGATCCATGTGTGCAGAGTGGCACGGGCTGAGGATACCCCCAGACTTCATGTAAAGGATCAGTGCACCAGTAGTGAGAAATAATTGTGGAGCATTGCAAACCCTGGGAATTAGAAAGGAATTACAGTGGAAAGGACAGTCCAGCTGGCCTTTGCCAATGGTGTTCCTGCCCCTCCTGGCTTTACTTGCCTTGTGTGTATTCCAGTTTGGACTGCTCTTCCTTTCTCTCTCTTTCACCATTTAGTTCTTCTCTTCCTCTTCACACAAACACATCCCTTTGAATACATCCCTGTTCTGTCCATGGGCAAACAAAAGGAGACGTCCTGCTCTTCCTTCCTGTTCACTATTTGTATTCCTTATCTAGTTTCTATTTGTATTCAATTTTATTGTTGTTTAATACCATAAATCCTGGTGGCACTTTCCTTGTGTTATTTGTGCTCTGACATCATGAGTTCATCTGTGCTGACCTCGGTATGAGGATTGCACCATCACAAGAGCAATAAACCCCAAACAAAAGCATTTTTTCCAAGACATTTCATTGAGCTCATTAGATAAGCAGATTGTGTCATTACCTGCTCAATCCCAGAAGCGAGACAGTTACTTGTGATCATAAAAAGTCTGTCATGGATGTCTCTCTTTGGCTTATTACTGTAGAGTATTAATGTGGTGTGATATCCTCTTTTGCAATGGTTCTTGCTCAAGAGGTTGCTGCCGTTACACCAAGACTTTCTTCTTCCCAGCCCATTATGGATGACATCATGATATAAATAAAATTTAAAATGGAAAAGACTGGCAATTGGAAAGGCCAAAGTGGGCAGGAAATGGAAGAAACCACAATGATAAGCAGGAGGTCAGTGGGTAGTACTTGATAAGTTTCTTCTGTTGAGACTGGAAGTTTTTTTTCCTGTGAAATGTGAGGGGTTTGTGGCTGCAGCATTTGAAGCTGAAGTGCTCTGTAGATGAAACGCACGTGGGGAGTCAGTGTGGACAAAGGAAAAAGAAATCTTCATGCAATAAAGTCTTCAGTCTGTTGAGCACTCTCTATAGCCTGCGGATGGAAACAGACTGACCTATTTCTGGTTGGTTTAATTAGCAAGGTGGGAAAAAACAGAGAGCGCCTGTGCCTTGGCTCCCTGTCACCACAGCCTGTGCTGCACAAATGCACCAGTGCCAGACAAACAGGGCTGGAAGGCTGCTCCTCACTGCCTGCATCCCCTTGGACTCTGTGCCATGGGGCAGAGCCGGGCCTTGGGCAGCAGGGACCCGACCTGGTGCCTGTCCTGGGTCTGTCCCCAGTGTCTTCCCATCCTAGTCTGGGCTCCCAGTTCTGGCCCCCGAGCCAGGGTTCTGCCACGGGGGCTTGGTGCAGGTGCTGGGACGCCTATCCTGGGGTTATGTCCAGCGCCTCAGTCCCTGTCCCCAGAGCTGAGCATCCACATTCTCTTGGCCTCTGCTCCTCTTGATCTGGATAGCTGGGGCTGAGGTTCTGGTGTGCCAGTTCTGAGGTCCCAGTATGGGATGCTGGGCCAGGTTCCCTATCCCCTGTGTGGAATGCTTGGTTAAGGTGCCGGTCCCTGTCACAGAACGGGTTTGGGTTGGAAGGGCCCTTAACGCTCATCTCATCCCACTCCGTGCCCCGGGCAGCGGGGACACCTTCCCACAGACCGGGCTGCTCCAAGCCCCGTCCAACCTGGCCTGGAATACTTCCAGCGATGGGGCGGGACGTCCAGCGGTGCCGCTGCAGGGCGGTGCTCCCGCCCCCGGGTCACAGCGCGGCTCCCGGAGCCCCCTGCCCGGGGCCGTGTCCCGGAGCCCCGCGCGGGGCGGGGGCCGCACCGGGGGCTGCGCGGCGGCGGCTCCGGCACGGCCGGGCGGGGCCAGGGGCAGCGCGGCGGGGCCGCACACGGCGCCTGTGCCGAGGGGCAGGGCCGGGGAGGCGGGCGGCCCCCCGCTCCCCTCCCTCCGCTTCCCGTCCCTGCCCCTTCCCCCATGGCGGCGCTGGGCGCCTCGGCGCGGCTGGCGGCGGCGGCGGCGCTGTGAGCAGCGGGCCGGGCGGGCATGGCGGGCCGCGGCCGCCGCGCCTGGCTCAGCGTCCTGCTGGGGCTGGTGCTGGGCTTCGTGCTCGCATCGCGCCTCGTCCTGCCCCGCGCCTCCGAGCTGGCGGCGGCGGCGCGGCCCCACCGAGCCCGCCCGCAGGGCTGCCGCCCGCCGCCCGCCGCCGCCGCCGCCGCCCCGCCGCGCCGCCCCGGCCCGCCGGCACAGAGCTTCCTCTTCGTGGGGGTCATGACGGCGCAGAAGTACCTGCGGAGCCGCGCCGTGGCCGCGCACCGGTGAGCGGCGGGGGGCCGGGGGCGCCCGCCGGGGATGGGGGTCCGGTGGACTGCCTTGGGCTGGGGTCTGGGATCGGCTCGGGGTCGGTTCGGGTGGGCTCGACTCGTCTCATCTGGGTTCGGTCACGTTCAGCTGAGCCGGGCTTGGCTCGGTTCGCTCCCATTCAACCGAGCTGGGCTTGGCTCGCTTCGCTCCCATTCAGCTGGACTCGGGCCGGCCGGCCGGTTCCCCCGGGGTAAAACCGCCCGGCCCGGGATGCCCTTACAGCCGGGATGCCCCCGCCAGCCCCGGAGACCGCTCGCCCTTCCCCGGGGCAGGTGCGAGCGAGCCTCGGGGCACGCTCAGCCCCGGCGCTCCTCGCTCCGGGCCCCGGGCGCTCTCCGGGCGGGCTGCGGCAGCCGCGGTGCCCCGAGCGCGGCTCCGCTGCCCGGGCAGCTCGGCAGGGACGCGAGGGGTCCGTGAGCCGCGTTACCGCTCCCGCAGGGTCTGGCTCAGCCAGGTTCCACCTGGCAGGTGGCCCCGGTGACCTTGCCTGAGGGTCAGGCAGCCCCGCCGGTGCGAGGGGACGCTGAGTGCCGGTCACCGGCGGGGACACGGGCATCCAAGTGCGTCCCTCGGTGCCTCTGCCTTGGGCGCAGCTGCGCCACGCTGGTACGGTCCTTGGCTGCTGCTTGTGGAGCGAGCTGACAGCCTGACGGTAACAGAAATAAAGTTTGGGGACCGCTGTAATGCCCTGGATAAAGACCACTGTGCCAAGCCGAAAGCTTGTGCTTGGGAATGGGACCCAGAAAAGGCATCTGGGAACAAAGAGTAAAACCCAGCTCGGCTCTCTGCAGCTGCTGCTGAGGCTGGACCAGGCAGTGAAGCAGCTCGGATGGGGAGAGCCAGCCTGGGTGAAGCGCTCCGTGCTTCAGACTGGTTGAGCTAATGCAGGAGCCAGGGTCTCGGAGCCGTGTGTTTGTTACCTGAGCACCCCTAATTTTGGAGTAGGAGCAATCTTGGTGCTTAGCACTGTGTGCTGCTCACCGTGGTCCCCAGGTGTGGCTGGGCATGGCCGTGAGTGCCACGGGCTAACGGGAATTCTGTCCAAAGCCTCGGCAGCATCAGGATAATCGTCTCTTCTGTGAGAGATGTGTCTGTGGCTTTGGTGGAACTCTGTGCTCGGCTGAAATGTGCTGGGATATGCTCATTGCTCCGGTGAGCGCGCCAGCAGGCAGTGCTGGGAGGCTGCACGGGAAGCCTGCTTGGGAAATCTGAAAGAGTCAAGAGCTAAAATGTCAGCTCGGGTACACCCCAGCTCTGGCTGAGCCAGCACCCTCAGGGGAGCAGCCAGGAGCTCTGGGGCAGATCTTTAATAAAACATCCCCTTCAGTCTTGTGCTAGAACAAACCCTTCTCCATATCCTGCCTGCCCTGGCTGAAAAGTACTTGGCCCTATTGGCCAGTAAGAGCAGGGTGACAAAACTATCTATGTTGGGCCATCATACCATCGTTCCCAGCTCGGCTCTGGTTTCAGGAAATCTGTCTTTATATCAGCATCCAATGCAATAAAATTGCTTTATTTGGGCAATCTGAGGCATATTGTCCACCAGCGATAGTTTTAATGGAAACTTAATTCCTTCTTCCAGCAGTAGACCTGTAATTAAGTTACAGAAAGCGCATGATTGATGCTTTGAAATGGGTGAAGGAATCTATTTCTTCAGGGTTATGTTCTCCTTCACCATGTGGGATGGAGCATTTTGGATTGCAAATCTCACAGGCTGTGCAATTTAGATTTACATACAGGGAGGCTGGAGTCGTGTTGGGACATCGCATACCAGGTTTTATGGCAGAATACTTTATCTAGCATCCATCAGATTTTGCTTAAAGAATTCGGAAAAGGGAAATTTATCACTGTGTTGTCCAGAGTGTTCTTTGGGGGAGAAATTCACTTTGCTGGTGTGGGAAGGATTCTTGTTTTCGCCTGGTTTTGCCTGTGCTTGCTGAACAGTCTGGTGCTGTAGCGGAGCTGGGTTTAGAGAACAAGATCTGCGACATCTGCTCTCACAAAACAATGGCTAAAGATGCAACTTAACAAATTCAGCTAATGGATTCGGGCTCCTTCAGCCCTTAGATGGAGATCTGAGTATCGCTTTTTACTACACTGCTATTTTGGTTTAACGTCTAGAGATGATGTCTGTTCTTGGAAGAGATGGATAAAGAGACCCTTAGTAGGGCTAAATGCGTTTTTCTCACCTCCGTTGGTGAAAGAAATGAGCTAATGTCCTGGTGACAGGAAGACATCTTTGGGGGAAGATGGGGAGGGGGGAAGAGGAAGACAAACCTGAAATCTTAAATGGCTTTTGATTGCCATGAAGTACTCAAGCAGACAATTGCTGGGATTACTACATTGACAAAGCATCCTGGTGAGCTGAATCGCTGGCACAGCCAGTGAAATGGGAAGCTGCTAGCAAGGCATTCCCGGGGTGGCAGCGTGTGCAGAGCCTTGATACCACGCTGAAAGGAATTAGGGATTCAGAGGCTGAATACCTCCAAATTGCTGTGGCTCAAAGGCCATTTACAGACACAGCTAAAAGGGACCGGAGCAGAAAGCATTTGCTGATCCTGGCTGCTGTGAATCCAGATAGGGTCTAACAAGAGGGGAAGCAATCCACTTCCTGAACATCAATCATGAGCAAAATGACCACTGCAAGGCAAACCAGGCCTGCTGGATTTTCGGGAGCCGCCGGCTCTTTGTAACAGTCCTGCTTTTGTAGTCTGTGAGGCAGAGAATAAGCTTTAGATCCACAGGTTTTCGGAGGGCAGATTTGCAGCCTCAGCAGTGATTGCATCTGACAGCCAGGTTAGCAGAGCTTCCCTTCCAGGAGGCCGGGGAAGTGCAGCAGCAGGAGCCACGGTGTCACTTGGAAGGACAAGGAGTAGTCAGGAAAAGAGCTGGGCAGGAAGGAGTTAAAGGGATGGCTGGGGTTCAGGGAAAGTGCAACAATATGTGCTAATGGTTTTGCAGTTGAGGGGAGTTGTCCTAAAAGAGCTGCAGGAAGGAGAGGATGGGAATAAGCAGTCTCCCAGAAGATTTAAGTCTGCTGTCTCAGGAGCAGAAATATCAGGCAGTTAACCCATTTTTTTTTTTCCGTTTGCGTAGCAACTAGATTTCCTGGGAAACGTGGCAGGAGAGTGGTGTGAATGCAGTTAATGGCGAGATGTCAGCGGCTGGCCTTTGGCAGCATCTTTGCAGGAACACAGCCGCAGCACGTCTGGGTTTGGGACGGTCCCCAGGGCACCGTCAAGTGCCACGAGGACCATGAGGGATGCCCGGGGCTGGTGCTGAGCCATCCCTGCCCGGTGGCAGAAGGATGCCCGGGGCTGGTGCTGAGCCATCCCTGCCCGGTGGCAGAAGGATGCCCTTCAGGGGCTCCATTTCCAACGTGCTGCCTCTGTTGGTGGTGGCTTACAGGAAGCTGGAATCCAAATACCTGAGTGCTCGGAAGAGCTTAAGTGAAAGGCAGCCAGAAGGATTTGGGTGTGGGGGAGTTTGGGTTATCTGTCAAAGCGTGCACTTACACATTGCAAGTGTATTGCTCCTAAATTCAGATCTGCATCTGTCGGGTGGTTTGGCCCGTTCTGGTCGCTGGTGGGGGGATGTGATGGATTGTGGAGCTCCTGCCCCTTGGGAGGGGGCCCTGTGAAGTGACTTTGGATGTTGTGCCAGCACAGTACGTGTTTTACTTCATGTGTGAATCGTACCACAGTACTGCAGCAGTGAGAACTCAGTGTCCTGCTCAGGTACCCTCCACCAGAAACACGATGTACTTGGCATTTCTGGCCAGTAACCTAAAATTTGTGAGGATGTTTAAGGAACGGTGTGAAAGAAGCACACAGAGCAGCTGTCATTGATACACGGCTGGGGGGTAAGTAAAACAAAGTCACTTACACCCCCCAAAATAACCACATGGCCCAAAACTCTGAGACACTTGGGCTCTGATCTTAGCCTGGCCCACTGACTGTGTGCCTGTGGGTGATGGATCCATTTCTGTCCCTGTCCACAAGGAAGGTGGATATGCATGGACAGAAAACCAGCATCACTTAAAATTGGAGGAGTTTAGCTCAAAGGACTCAAACAGCTGTGGAAGCTGCTTGGGTTCTCTGTTAAAGCAATCCTGCAGAAACCTGAAAGAAACTTTTCCTCAAGATTGGAATTCTGTAATGCAGATCTTAGTGACAGAGATGTGGAAATTTAAAAGACCAGCTTTTTTTTTGTGACCTCCCATGTGTTATCTACAATACCATGTGCAGGAGCAGCGTGCTGGTTTCCGAGCTCAGTTCTCCTGCCTGAGCTGTGGTTCACTGCTTCCCCTGTAGCAAATGTTGTTGGAAGAATGGGGCCTTGAAGAACAGAGATGCCAAACTAGCCCTAATTCAACATGGAATTTAGCTGCATTCAAGACATCAGTCTTTCATGTCTGTTGTCTTGCTGAGTTCTTCACAAATTATGATTTTCTTCAGCGTAATTATACAAGATGACTATTTCTCAAAACTTTAAATGATTTCTCTGATCTCCTCTAAGGGAAACTTCCTGAGCTGCAGACAAAAACCAAATACATTTTTTGTCAGTCTTCAGCCTGAGTCTCTACAAAGGGAGCACTGTCTGCATAGCGCCACTGACTGTGCTTCTGCCGAGTCTGCAAAGCTGATAAGCAAGATAATACAAATAAATAATAAATACTGGAAACTGAAGAGAAAACATCCCAGATCTGTGCTGCTCCTGCTGCAAGTTGTGCTTTTAAGCTTCTTTTTAAATGAAGAAATAACTTCTTACAACATTTCAAGACTACAATTGTGGTCACTTTTTAGAAAATGCTGGGGTTTTTTAGCGCTCTTGGTGTGCACAAGGTTTTCTGTATTTCATGAGTTCCTGAGAGCCAGCTAAAAAGATAAAATCTTTTCACCCAGTTTGCTTGTGACTTGCTTAGCCTAGGGTACACGTAGGATATCCAGTGTGCAAAACTGGGTGAGGGAGGGAGGGTAAAATTGATTTGGTAGCCACCAGTACTGGAGCATCACTGGAGTCATGTCCTCTGCTTAGAGATTTTTTTGTGGAGTTGTGTGCCCTGTGCACTGAGAGAAACCAGGTCACTCAGCATCCTGCAGGTGTTTTACCTCCTGGGGAGGGTAATAGAGAGCCTTGCTGTCCTGATTCATGCCCATCCTCCTGCTTAAGCAGCAGATTCAGATTACACGGGGGAGATAAGGTTGGGATCTGTCAGGGTTTTTAAATGACCACTTCAGGGCAGTATCAGTTGTATTCACAAGCTGATATTTCTCTGTGGACAGAGTTGAAATGGCTTTGACTGAAGCGCTGGTGAGCGATCACTGCAGCCCAGGTGGTCTCTGCAGGTGCAGATACAGAGTCTGATGGCAGAAATGTTGTGTCCATGTGTCCTTTAAACAGCTCAGGGTGACAGGGCGGTGGGGAAGAAGGAGGGTGTCAAATTTCAATAAAAATATTTTTCTGGGTTTTTTTCATTTTCAAACATACAATTCTTTTGCAGATAGAACCTGCAGGTCTTATACTGGAGAAACCTTGACCAGGAAAGTGATGTAATCTGGTGGAAGGGGGTGCTGGTGGGGCCACAGAGGTGGGGAGGTGTTGAGAAAAGAGCTCTGTGCTCAGGAGCTGAAGGGTCAGGTTGCTGCCCATAACCTGAGAGCAGACAAGGTAAATGACAGTGGAGGTGGGAGGACTGGCAAGAAATGTAGGTTTTACGTACTAAACTACAGAATTGCTGGTGATGGAGCCAAGTCTGATTATTTGCAACATTGGATAAAAAAGTTAAAAGCAGCTTTGATCGGAATTCATCTGTGCATTTATCAGTCCTTAGTTCTGCTGATAACTGGGGCCAGAAAAACCTACTTACAGTTCATCTCACCCTCTGTGGTTTGGCTTCTTTGGCTGAGTGCAGCAGCATGTTTCCTGAGCAAACTGTTCTCCCTGTTTCTGTCCCCAAAAGGGCCACAGCGAGCTGTGGCTTGGACGTGAGGAGCAGCCCGTGGTGGCTCCATTGTCTCAGCCTGTGCCTGAGCTGTGCTCTGTTGACACAGACACTTGGGCTGTTTGTCCATGTGGGAGGGTTTCATCCCTTTGGGTTCAAACAAAGCCACGGTCACAAACAACACGTTGAGCTGTCTCATCCTAGAAATTGTGTTGCTGCAGGAGGTGAACAAAGGCTCAGTCAAGCTGTGCTGGTGCACGGTCGATGTGGTTGACATGAGATCCCAAGGCTGGAGTGACACCGTGGTGCTCACACAGGTCCTTGGGGTGTGGATGTTGTTAGGGCATGGTGTTTGTGTCCCCATTCCTGCATACATGCAGGAATGTCTCTGTTTTACCCCTGGTTTAATGTGGAACCTAAATGTGGCTCACATGGATAGATGGGCTCAAACTGGCTTTGGGATGAGGGGTTTAGTGCAGTAAGAAGACTGGGAATCAAGCATGCCAGGGTTTATGGATGTGCATGCATTTTGTTCCCTTTCTGTTGAATGGGAGCTCTTCTCTTATCTTGAGGTCAGGGTACCTATTTGGAGAACAGGGAGTAAATTTAAACTGGGAATCAACAGAAGAGCTTGATGACTTCCAGGAGGGAGCTAAAGCTTGGAGTGATAAAGACATCCTGTGTTGCCCACAGATTATAGTAATGATAAAGGCAGATCTTTCAGGGTATGAAGAGCAAGTCTGAAAAGACACTGTTTGCTTTTGAATAAAGAAGTAACTAAACAGAAATTGCCAAAAGACTTTAGGTTATAACTTCAACCTGGTAGTTGTCTGCAGAGTGTCCTGGGTCCACCCAAAGCTGTGTCTCAGTGGATGAGATGAGCTGCATTTCTCAATTTCTCAGTAACTCCTTCTGTCCTTTCTTTCTGTGACACTAAAATTTAAATGCATCTTTAGTGAAGAAAAATCTTTTAAGCTTAGACTGGGAGTTGATATGGGAAGAGCTGTGGATGATTTGTATGTGGAGTGTGGGTGTCAGAAAATAAACAGCAGAACTTCCTTAAAAGTTAGTGAAAGTTCAGGATGTGACCGTGTCTCCTTTTAAAGCAGGCAGTTCTCAGTGATTTATAACCAGCAGTACTGTGCATTAATTGCCTCACTGATGATTAAAGGCCTCATCACCTCTGTTGTGAAGTCAGTGGGAATGTTTCCATTTGCTTTACCCTGTGCTCTTCTGGAAGCTCAGATCTAAACTTTTGCTATGAAACACTACCCACAGCAGTAAGAAATCCAGGAGACAAAGCTTTTAAAGTAATTGGGTGATATTCATGACACACAGTGGAATTAGTGAGAAACTGTTAAGGTGTCAAAGTTGATGTTCAGGTAGTCTCATTAAATACCTCTGCATTTTCTGATGGAACTTAAGGAATAATTCTCCTGAAGTATTTTTATATTTCAGGCTTTATATGATAGCTAATTCTGGATATTTCAAATTTCAGATGGTCTGTGCTGCCCAAAATCTGCTCAGGTATTGGCAAGAAGCCTGTGCTGAGAGGCATCTGGTCAGAGTGACAGTGATGCATTGAGGGAATACTGTGTCCTTTACCTTGAGAGTCTTTTCACATCAGCTTTAGGTTATATTCTGAGTATAGTCACCAAATAGAATTATGGATTATTCTCCCTGTATATAAAAAGGGGCAAAACCTGTTGGTTTACCAACTAAAGTAGTTTTACCAACTAAAAATGTTTCTGTGAGTTTCTGTGAGGTGTATGTGATCTCTTATCCCAGATAGAATTTCAGAAAATGGTACCGCAAGCTTAAAATTAATAATTTTTGAGGGCAAGGCTGTAGCAGTTATGTGACTGAAAATCCTCCCTGGAGGAGGCTGTGCTCTGCCTTGAGGAATCATCCTGCAGCTCTTCCTGCCATCAGTGACCCAGTTTGCCCACGCAGATGGGTTGGATTTGTCAGAGAGGAGCATGGAAGGTGTGGAGCAGATGTTGCTGTGCTGCTCTGCACAGGAACGACTCCTCTTCTGTGCAGTTCCTCTGCACTAGAACCTGGAATGAAATGTCTGGAAAGCTGCTGGAGGTGCGGGTGTTGGGTAGCACCATGTTACTGTGGGAATTAGGAGTTCTACAGGCATCTCTTAGAACTTTGCTGGTATGGACAAAGCCACTTGAGGTTACTTCTGCTCCGTGCTCTGTGCTTTGCTTCTCCACACACCATCTGGAGAAGTTGCTCTTTGGTTGGTTTCCCAAGGGATGCCGTTTCCTTAAAAGTTCATGTGAATTTACTCTCTGGAAGTCTGTATTTCTGAGGGCACATTTGAGCTTTTAGGGAGGCTTAGAGGGAATGGCATAGAGGGAAAGTGACTGTGATGCTGAATAACTTGCAGGGAAGCTTTGGAAGCAGTAAATTCAGTTGTAAGTGAATTGTTGGCCCCTATTGGATCACCTCTGTACTTTGTGATCAATAGCTGTTAGTGCAAAACTGAGTGTGCTTAAGGAATCCTGCTTCTACTAGTGAACTGCTGCTATTGAATTATTTTTCTAACATATGGAGGTGCAAAAATGGTACTCAGACTCTTGTCATATCAGAATCTTGTGTATGTTGTACCAATTGCTGTGTGTGCCACGTGAATGTCCTCATCTGTGTGGTAAAAAATAACCTTTCAAGGTGTTAAAAAAAAAAAATTTGTAAAGCAGGTGAGCCACAGTCTGTGGCAGCACTCTCTGCCTGCTCTGGTTTGCATATTTAATTATTCCTTCTTGTCTTTTCCAATCTAGAACATGGTCCAAAACCATTCCTGGCAAGGTCGAATTCTTCTCCAGTGAGGGCTCGGACACCTCTATCCCCATCCCCATCGTGCCGCTTCCAGGTGTAGATGACTCCTACCCCCCCCAGAAGAAATCCTTCATGATGCTCAAATACATGCATGACCACTACTTGGACAAATACGAATGGTTCATGAGGGCTGACGACGACGTTTACATCAAAGGGGACAAACTGGAGAACTTCCTCAGGAGCCTGAACAGCAGCGAGCCCCTGTTCCTGGGCCAGACCGGCCTCGGCACCACGGAGGAGATGGGGAAGCTGGCGCTGGAGCCGGGGGAGAACTTCTGCATGGGGGGGCCAGGAGTGATCATGAGCAGGGAGGTGCTGCGGCGGATGGTGCCGCACATCGGCGAGTGCCTGCGGGAGATGTACACCACGCACGAGGACGTGGAGGTGGGACGCTGCGTGCGCAGGTTCGCAGGGGTGCAGTGCGTCTGGTCCTACGAGGTAAGGACGGGGCAGTGGGGAGGGGGCTTTTGGGGCAGGAGGTAGAGGGGAGGGTTGATGTTGTGCACAGCAGATCCCCCCCGCCTCAGCGGCCTCTGCAGCGTCACCGTCCGTCTGTACGGTTTCTACGCTTTGTGCTCCCTGCGAGTGTCACCCTTGGAAAGACCTACGAAAATTTGGAAATGCAGCAGTAAGGAGGGAGGTGGAAGAACATTGGTTATTCATCACAGATATTTTTACTTAGAAAGGGAATAAGCTGAAATCAAAATGGCCTCGAGTGCCTGCACTCCTGACTGTCCAAGCCTCTTTTATCTTATTTAGCCGAGCACGTCCTGGTGTCAGCATGGAAAATGGATGATACAATTACCGTGTTTCTTACTGCAGTTGAAATGTGTGAGGCTGACAGATGTTTGCCCTGACAGTGACAGTTTTTCTCCAAACTGGAGATGTCTCATGGTGGCTGGCACTGTAACCCTGCATGCTGAGCTGCCTCCTGGCAGCCCAAATCTGTTGCTGCTCCGGGCACTCGTTGGCAGCCCCATCCTGCATGCGCCTGCTTGGCAGGTCCTTGACGTTAGCACAGACAAGCCACCACTCTTACCAAAACTCGTGGTCTGCCCACACTGATGTGCCTGCAAATTTGGCATTTTGGGGGATAAAAAATTAGAGAGCCTGCTTGTGGCAGTTTCCTGCTGCTGTTTGTTGGGAGCTGGCAGCTTCTCCCTGGGGATGACAGGGGCTTCTCCTGCCTGGGTGTGCTGGGCTCCTTGAAGTGAGTCCTGGGTGTTTACAGACTGCCTGGTTGAAAGCAGCTTGAGCTGCACTTTCACCAGGGTAAATGCTGGTGGGTCTGCCTTAGAAATATGGGAGAAGTTGAAAGCAGAAGAGAGGCTGAGCAGTTTATCTCTGTGCACAAACATTTACGACCTGACGCAACCATGGCTTTGTCCTTTTATGAGATGTGGTGAAGGGGGGCTCTTCTGCCTCAGTGGCAGGAACTGTGCTCACAGTGACATTGAGGTCACAGACAGTGACAGATACTGCTGCTGAGCCACTCTTTCACTGGCAAAGACTTGGGTTTAGCTTTTGACACTGAGTTTCTGCTGTTGCTTTGTTTCAGTTCACAGCTCAGTGATGGGGAAGCCTCTGAGGAAGGGGAAGGAGGTTTCCAGCTGCAGTTATTAATTAATGTCTTTTGTGCCTGGAGACTTTCTAGACTAACAGTGTCTCTCCACATTCCCTGCTTTCAGACCTGGAACTAGTTTATGTTTTGCCAACATTGTGGTTTAGCCATTCGTAAAGAGTCAGTAACTTTTTCCACAGTTTTTAGCAGCATAAAATTTTTACTATAGACATTCAGAGTTGAAATAACTTCTGCTGTGAATGCCTGTACCATCTGGCATTTGATAAGTTACTGAAGGTCAGCATTTTGGTCCTATTGAAACTGTCAAAGGGCTCCTAAATTCAATATAACCAAATATTGGATTGAAATAACCAATGATAGCCCACAACTGCACTGGGAATGCTGTCTGACAGAAATAGATGGGGCTTTCTCATAATCACTTTTGTTTGATGAGCTTCTGTTATTAGCCTTAATGCTGGATTCTCCTAAGTGCCATGAATTGCTTAAAATTGGTTTGTGTGAAGTGTATAAACTGTTGGGTGTTCAGAAGTAACTTGTGAGTGTAGGATGTTAAGGCTCAGCTGTTGGGGAGAGTAGGAAACATTTCAATGACAAAAGCACAGAGCTTCTGCAAGAAGTGAGTCCACGCTCATTTAGTTGTGGCTTTTCAATTTAAATACCTGTCATCTTTTTTTATCTGGTCCTCTTGTTGCCCAGATGAAATGTGCCTGGTATTTTATTTCAGATAAAGCAATAGCTCTGTGAATAAACACAGCTGTTGCAACAGCTGTGTTAGAAATGCTTGGTGTAAAAGTGACATTTTCCATGTCTTGTATGTTCATGAACATCAAGTAACAGGCCACTGTAAGTGAATTGCAAAATGTTGTGTTTCACTGAGCTTCTGATGGAGCAAAAAGTTTATCTGTGCCTGCTCTGCTGGGGCACAGCCACCACATCCTTCACAATTCCCATCAGAGGAAAAGCTGTGACAGCACAAGGCTCAGCAGACAGAGAAGTGTTGGCCTTAGAAATCCCAAACCTCAGACTTCTCCTTTGCAGCCTGCACTTCCTATTCTGAAGAGGCTGGAGTGGCAGCACAGAACAAGGGAGCAGTTCAGGTCCCTGCAGTGAGCCCCCAACTCGCTGGGTTTCGTTCTCAGCATCTCGGGCGTGGAGTGCCCTGCTGTCCTCACCACGGGTGGCTTTTCCCTGCACTGTTCTCGTGGTGGGCTCCCTGCCCAGAATCGTTTTACTCATCTCCATGACTGTCACTGTCCCCTTTCTCTGATTTTGGGATCCCACAATGTCTTCACTGTGCTGCTCATCTTCCCTGGCCCTGGTGGTTTGCCCGAATGCATCACCAGCCCAGCTCTGTGTGGCATTTTTGCTCGCAGCAGTTTGTCTCAAAGCCCCTTTTTCCCCCCCTTTCTGTGTTTCTGTCACTCTCTGCTCTCTGCAGTGCCTCTCAGACCACTTCATTAGAGTGGCATCGGTTATTGCCCGTTTCAAGACTTAGGAGGATTTGTTCACGCTCTCTTCCTGCCCTCAGGAGCTTTTCAGCAGACACAGTAGAGGAATTGACACCACCATTCTTTGGTCTTCCTGTGTCATCTCAGCCCAGAAAAGCAGCAGCAGCATGTGCAAGGTTGAGGACAACTGCAGCTCTCTGGGCTCTGGGCAGCTCTGACCCACCCAGGCTGCTGCTTTGGGAGCAGTTTGCAGCCCAGGGATTTTAAGCTCCTATGACCAGGCTCGGAGCTGTTATTTGACACAGCCTTATTTGACGAAGGTTGAGTGAGTCACAGATGAGACATGGCTGTTAAATGTAAGTTCTTTAGGGCAAGGATTATCATAATTGTAAAAACAAACCCCAGACTGTCGCTGCTGTTTGACAGATAGCTGTAAAACTCAGCACTCTATAGGGTGGAACAGCCAAAGCCAGAGAGTTTATGCAGCAAATTATAAGAAAACAGTCACAAAAAGAATGGAGCTATGAAATCTCTGAAGCTTCCAGAAGGGAGCTTTAGAGTTCATGAAGAAATATAGAGTGTGGTCATTTTTTTTGAAGAGAACTAAAGGCTTGGAGTGGACTTCCTCAGAAATGGTTCTGCATTTCTAGTGAATACTGGTACTTTAGACTTCTGGCACGTTGCTGGGTGTTATCCTTAGGAAAAGATTGCCTACTTAAGTCTCCTTCCTTCTCCCCTTTCCTCCCACCAGTAGTTCTTCCAGTCCATCTCATGTGGATCAGGGGGACATGGAAGTTTTGTTTTCTCCTACATTGCCATGTGGTGCCATGCAGGGTCTTGGATTTCAGCCTGAGAACATGTTCTGGTTTTGATGACAAGCTCTTTCATTTGTGATTTAAACCATCCCAAAAGTATTGTTGATTTCAGTTTTGTGTCTAACGTTTCATTTAAATGCACCTGAACTACAAAGTCACTGCTGTGTAGCTTAGTGTTGTTTCAGCCTTGTTTTGCAGCTGTTGCTGAGTATTGTTCTAATTTGTGGTTAACAGCTTCACAATTTTATTACAGGCTCTTTGTAGCTGCTAGAAGTCAAGGCAGTGCTGCTATATCTCATTAATTTCTTTTGTATTTAAACCCTTATGACATATGCTGCTTTCAGGTGATCCCAGTTCCTTCCTCTGTGTCCTACAGTGCAATAGTGGATCCTACAGTGGATCCAGTGGAGCATCTTTTCCTACCTCTGGCAGGTATAAATAACCAATTTTGTCTGTTTTATCTCCTGTTCTGATTGAGGCTGTGGGAGAAATTAGGTGAGATGCATCAAGTGTATCTGTGTGGAGAAAGCAGTGCTTTCCTCCAAACTGCAACAAGTACTCTACAATGTCCTGAAAGGAGACAGGATGGAAAGGAAGGTATGACAAGGGTGTTGATCACACCAGGAAATATAAGCAGCAAGGAAGAGCAGGTCCAACCTTTTGGGTGTTGGTGAGAGGAAAAAGTAGGACATTGGTGACCAGGGATAGCAGGGGGCTTTGGGAGAAGGGGGGTTTGAGTTAACATTTTGTGTGGTCTTTCATCTGGAGTAATTGAAGATAATTGCTACTCTGAAGTTCACTGAAGTTAAGAAAGCTCTTAAAGTGCTCATTATATCTGCCAAGTACACTGGCAGTGCCAGAACATATCCTTTCTGGGATGGATGTTCCCAAGGGCAAAACTGAAGTTTATGCTTTTCTGTAAGACAGCTGGAAGTAAAAAAAAATAAAATCAATTATAGTCCTGCAGTGATAGATCAGATCTGAAAGACTGGAAAGAGATGCTGCTGTTAATGGCTGAGCTCCAGTTCCTTTGCTTTTCCCTTCTGTCATTAACAAAAAGGAGATTGGTCCTGTTGTGGCTGGGTGGTGAGTGACACCCAGCACAGAGTGAGCTCCCAGAGCAGGGCAGGATGGGCTCTGTGAGGGGCTCTGCAGCACCTCTGTTCTCTGCAGACACTGGGGGCAGTGGGGTTGGACTGTGGTGTTTGGTTGTTCTTGCTCCATGAACCTCTCCTTGGACTCCCAGCCAGCAAATGGAAGAATTCACTTGTCTTTGTAGCAGGAGCTTCCAGCAGCACTCCTGAAATAAGACATTATTGTATGTGTGTATTGTCCTGGCTTCAAAGCTTGGACATTTTCTGAAGTCAGAGCATGGAAACTTGACAAACCCTGACAGCACAGACACCTTATCTTGCTGTGTGTGCAGCCCACTGCATCTCTCAATTTCAAGAAACCTGTGATGTGAGTTGTGTGTGTGAGAGAGGGAGGATACAAGCATGCCCAAAGTTTTAGAGTGGATGTTTATAAGCCATCTTTCCTCCAGCACCTAATTTTATCTTTGGAATGCCTCAGAGATGTCTTTTTGGCTTCAGA